AAGTTCTCTCAAAAACACACAGGAACGTACATACACACTCAAACACACACATACACACGCTCCCTCTGAAGCCTAGCTGACTCATGTGTGTCTGGCAGATTAACGACATCGTCTTCTCCAGGCTTCCGCTGCAGACATATAAATAATCGTGTCAAAGTATATTTTTTAGATTCTCTAGCTAACAGTTTACTCACGAACATAGACGTGGGTATCACGAACCAAAGGGGGCGGTTCAGTGTACAGTTGCAGGATATTGTGACCGATGCATCGATCTGCATCCATACTGAAATTCGGGTTACGATAGACCCGCACTACCTGCAAGCACAGAAGAGTCACCTGCTACAGACAGAGGGCAAGTTAAATCTCACCAGCTACACACGGAAAGTCCGTTCACAAAGTTCCATGACTAACTATGATCAGCTGGTCGGATCAGGCCCGGTGACGTGGTTGACGTTGACTCCGAAAGCGATATAGACAAGATATGAAATACACAATGCCGTTTAGAAAGTGGTCAAATGTAACACGTTATATCTGGGATTACACTTTCTTTGTAAAGTACAGATTCTAGTACTTTTGTTGGGTTGAGTCCCATCCGGGATTCGAACCCCCACCCAAAGAGTCAGGCACCTAATCGCCAGCACACAAAGAAAGTGTAATCCCATGTTGATATAGACAAGAGTTATTCCTTGTTGAAGTGTATTAACTATGGCATACTTAACGGTACGATAGCTTTGTGAACCGGAGCCCTGGTTTGCCGACTCCAGGCCGTATGACAGGGATATCGGTGTTGGACATAGTTTCCTGAGTGGGATGTCACTATAACACCGACTTTAGTCCGGGCTAATACAAGCAGCCACACGCACGCGCAAACGCACGCACAGACACGCACATTAAAAAACACATAACACATGCATGCATGTACGACGCTGTGCTCGTGGCATAAAATCCAATGCGACTTTGAACTCTAGCTCACCTCCCATGCCTGGTAAACTGACTGACTGAGTTTGGTTTTACGTCGCTTTTAGCAATATTCCAGCAACATCACGGCGGGGGACACCAGAAATGGGCTTCACACATTGTACCCATGTGGGGATTCGAACCCGGGTCTTCGGCGTGACGAGCCAACGCTTTAACCACGAGGCTACCCCACCGCCCCACCTGGTAAACAGGTTTAGTCGTAAGAAAACTGAACTCACAAATGCTTCGTTATTACACACAAGTGTCAATCGTCTAACAACAACGGTTATCATGGCAACCCGACATCTCGTCAACAATGTGTTAATCCTGTGAGTTAATTACATTACATTACATTACATTGATATACATTTATATAGCGCTAGTATCCAGTCTTGAGAAGACTGCTCAAGATCGCTGCTGAACTCCGTATGCAATGCTGAACAAATGAGTTTTTAATCTGGATTTGAAAGTACTGAATGTCTGTACTGATCGAAGAGAGAGGGCTAATAGCGCCATTGTCACTTGTCGGTTCTGAGGAAGACTGCGCGTCTACTGCAGAACTTCTGCATGTGTTTCATATCATTCTACGTCTATTTCTGACTTGTGTGAGCACGTGTGAGACAACACGTGACTATGTATGTGACTTGTCCACATGAGCGGGTCTTACTGGAAAGTAGTAAAACGGTAGTTTAACACATCGGGTAGAATAAAAGTGAATAACACACATACATACACGCACATGCATCCAAACACTCGATCAGTGACTCTCATATCCACACACGCGCGCGCGCACGCACGCACACGCATACATACATACATACATACATACATACATACATACATACATACATGCATGCATGCATGCATGCACGCACGCACGCACGCACGCACATACATCACATCCATCCATCCATCCATCCACACACACACACACACACACATACATACATACATACATCCACATACATACATACATACACACACACACACACACACACACACACACATACATACATACATACATACATACATACATACATACATACATACATACATACATACATACATACATACATACATACATACATACATACATACATACATACATACATACATACATGTGTTGTTTACATTTTATACTTGTATTGATACACACTAGTGTGACGGACAGCACAGTTACTACAGCTATGAATTAAAAGCTGCTTGTCTGTGTAAGTGATCTGCTGCGAGGGACTCCCGTTTAAGCCTTTGAGTCTTCTGGCAGCCTTCGGGGCACGTAAAGCACCGCTGCTGAACCTCAATAATACCGGTTCCCATGCACCCAATAAAACCTCAAAATACATCCTCAAGCATGACGTTACAGCGACAATTAATTAAACATGCTCACATCATATCATCTGATTTGTGAGGATCTTAAGACCGGTTTCTGAGGTATCTACATGTACAATATGTAAAAAAAAATCAAGTTCACCTAAGGGGATGTGAGGCTGTGGGGGAGGGGGGGTACGGGCAAGGGTGTTAGTATTGGTGTACTTCATGTCCCCAGTGGCTGCACATGAAGTGGACAGACGGGGCTGTATTGTTGTACACGAGGGCCCCAGGGTACAAAACCTCCCTAATTAAAGCCGAAGGGGCATGAGGCTACTTCAGGTTATATCAGGCTGTATCTACAAAAAGATGGCATCTATATCAATGTTTAGGGTTTATTGTAGGCGGTATTACATAAGGCGTTTCTCGTGTGACCGGAGATGTCCCCGATCTACATCTGTGATACGGTTAAACGCGAGAGACAATGAAATTAATGAACCGTAATATACAGAGAAGAAACTCCACGTGTTTAAGGACTTTACGGATTATGGTGAACCTCTCCACAATAAAGTATTAGACTTGGTATCGGGTGTGCATGTCCCCGATCTACATCTGTGATGCGTTTAGATGCGGGAGACAATGAAATTAATGAACCGACTTGTACAGAGCTGAAACTCCACTTGTTTCCGAGTGTTTTATAACAATAGCTATCTGTGAACTTGTCCACAAGAAAGTATTAGGCTTGTTATCGTGTGTGAATCCCCAGTCTACATCTGTAATGAGGTTAGATGCGTTAGACAATGACATTTATGAACCAACAAATACAGACCTGAAACTCCATGTGTTTCCTCGTGTTTCCTGGAGTTACAGCTCACAGTGACCTTGTCCACAGTGACAATTTGGAATCAAGGTCGTGTGTGCATGTCCAACACGGGTCAACCTGCTAATTGACTCCGTCGAAGCAGGGTTGTGGGGTAGCCTAATAAAGCGTCTGCTCGGCACGCTTAAGACCCATGTTCGAGTCCCCACATGGGTACAATGTGTTAACTCCATTTCTGGTGTCCCCCGCTGTGATATTGCTGGAATATTGCCAAAAGCGGCGTAAAGCTAAACCCATTCACTAAATCGAAGCAGGGCGTTAGGACATTGGGCTTCAATCCTCTCCCCACGTTCCTCGTAAAGTTTGCTGAGGGTATCACACTACATCATGCAACAAATGTTTTGGAATAGACATCATACATGCGATACATACTAACTTAGCCTCTTTACATACGTGGTTAATTATCGTCAGCATTCTATTATCATCAGCATTCATTTTGTGCATATTATTATTGTGTATATATTTGTGAAATTTGTATATATTCATTTTTAAGGCGTTATTAGTAAAAAAAAGAATTTCCTCCGGGATAATAAAGTTTCATCTTATCTTATCTTAACGTTCGTGGTTCTATGTCAGAACACAAATCAATAGTATAAAAATACGATGCCATGAATAACACTTAATGAGGAAAATATAAATATTTGCCGACGTGCTTAACGCGGACTTTATATTAATCACACAAAAAATGATTGCACTTCTGTATGCCTGCAAATTTGTCCTGCTGCAAATAAACGAACACAGTTGCAGTTTTAACGTTGCACCACCGTTCGATATCCTTCCATAGGCTACCCTGCCCGACCCCACCTCATCCCTCAATCACAACCCCTATCCCACGTTCTGTCTAGAGGTCCCACCCACTCAACACACACATCCCTCCACACTCTGTATGCTTCAACCCCTCACATCCCCTGGAAACTCCCTCAAACTTTATTCTTCCCTAAACCCCACCCCCTTTTCATGACGAGGGGGTTGGGGAGGACAGGAAGTGTTGACGTGTTGGTGTTGACATTCGAGGTGAAAAAAAATCGTTTTTGGCCATCGAGTGGAAGGATTTTGCAATTAAGCCAACATTAACCATCTCCTTCAGATTTTTGAGCCAGTGTTTGACAGGCTCTGAGTTCGGGGATCCACGGGATAGAGTGACATTATAAACAAACAACCCTGACGCGAAGCCAACACGACGCCTGACGTCACGCCACCTCAAAATGCGTCAGGGCCATGCATGCTTGACTTAAATTCTGAATACTACACCCGTAAAATCTCAAATTGACTTATATTTCCTGGTTAACAATCGGCGATTTGTTTCAGGTAACACGACTCCTTTATCTCGGTGGGAAATCACAGCCTGGGTATAAGCGCTATATTGAACACGTACACTTGGACGGTCTATCAGAGATTGTCACCGAAACAGGTTTATTTACTAATATTTCAGTCCCAGTTCTGACCCTTGTCCACCCCGGGCCTCCATTCCTTAACACCTGGATCAATCAATTAAACCTGATTGTCCTCTACCCTGGGTTCCCCGCCCCCTACCATCGCACCCCCACAGTTTTGATGTGTGGAGGTGTGATCGTTCACCTGTGCCAGGTAAACTGAAAAGATAACAATAACAGTGATGCCGGGTTGAAACTCGCGGCTTGGGTTTGTCAATGGACATGTGTCACTCCCCATTCTTGAATGAGACTTGCGAAGCCGGGACAGTTCCCTACCTGCCCGGACGAGCCCATTAAAGATCGGGGTCATAGGATACGGGCCACGCCGTCAAGGTAGCTTGACTGACTCAATATAAAACGTTTGTGCTACAGCCCCGTGGATCGATCGTTTCTGTGTCTCCTTGCCGTGAACGGTCTTGAGACAGGGAGCTAGTCACACAGGCTTGTACACATACTCCGACTCCCCTCGGGTGTGCAATAGACTGCGCCAGGTATTCATGTCCGCGCGACAGAGTCGTCCTACAAGTTAGGTGTGTCAGTGAGCCTCCGAGACGTACGAGACAGTCCACCACACACCGGTCACTGTCACACAGCACATGGTCAACACGCTCTCTACCTGTCCGGCCTCTTTCACCTGTAATCAACGACATAACGCTACTCTCTGACAGGTATTACACCTACCACGTGCCGGCGTCTCGCAGAAGGATATATATACAGGATTATTATAGAATGCCCAGTGGTCACTGACGTGCTAGTATTGTGTGTGACTCTTGGACATCCATCATGTGGTCAGTAGCGGACACCTGTCTTACAGACACCCGTATGAGAACTTGGTTTTCCGTGGGACTGATATTCGCCGTGTGTGTGACTGGAACAGCTAGTCAAGGTAAGATACTACTACATCCGTGTTCAATGTCAGATAAGAGGAAGGGATAAAACATAAAATCCCGACCCACGTAACCCCACCCCATCAGAATCGGTCACTCCCAGGGGGCACCGAGTCTGAATGTTGAGGTGGGATGTCATGAACTAATAACTGATATATTTCATTATTTGTACGTCGTATTCCCTGTTAACATGTGAATACATTGTCGTCACTAGTAAGCGTGTGTCCGTTATTTCCTGTATTTCAATCACGTGTGGATCCGGACGAGAGCGTATGTCACATAGCTGTATAATATATAGCCAAACACGAGCTCATGTATCTGAGGGGAGTTTACGTTATATATAGTACTGACTGTTAAACCATCACCAACCTCGCCCGCGACTTGTTCAACCACCCGACGGGAGGAAGGTGTATATATCACTGCACGGACCTTTGAAATGAATACAATGCATTATCTGTATAACAATGTTTATCCGTTTTTCTCTGTTCCTTGTATTTCCGTATGACACAATATCGTTCAGTAGGAACATTGTGTATCTACGACATATGATCTGAAGATACAAGCTAGTTCCAAGAATGGCTGAAAGAATTGCCATTGATCTGTTTACAGCCACTGTAGGGTTTATATGCAATGTAAAACACGGTTACACTGCCCCCACGCTGACTTACATCAGTATAACGAACTACGGTTATAACGAATACAAGTGTTCCCTTTGAGTTCGGAATAACCATGGTGTACTGTGGTTCGTATCATTTAATCAGTTACACCAAAGGGTTTACATGACACACAACCTCAGCTTCACGACATGTGCCATATTCTGCGTATGGGGTGGTCGAGAGTGTCGTAAATTCATCATTTTGTTTTATCAGTATCATAAAGTATAGTGTATTAGTCATTATGTGGCGTTGTATACTATTATGTATAATATTTGTTATGGAAACTGCTGAACTGATTGGAGGTGAACGTGGACTCATGCTCTCTTGTTGGCCTGTCAATACACGTTCATATCGCTCTGTTTTGTCAGACATAACACAACCTCTGCGTATCATCATCATATAGCGAAGCGTATCAATTATGATCTGGTTTTGTAAACTATCATGTATAATATTCGTAATGAAAAGTACTGAACTGAATGGAGGTGAACTGGGACTCGTTAATAACGCGCTGTATTCGTACATGCACTAAGGCATGGTCTATTGAATTTAGGGGAGGGGTAGTTTTTGCCGTTGTGGACTTTTTATGTTAAATTGTATTTTATTTAATTAATTGATGTGTTTTATTGCGGGGGAGAGTGAGGGAGTAATACGAAATCCCGCCGTTTCCTCCCCCCTCACCATTTTATAACACCTTGCAAGCAGACCACTGTCACTGTTATTGTCTCCACCATCCCTCGTGAACCTGCTCGGGAGCGCCCCCTGTCGGCTGACCCAGGGCGGGGCACCTGGGCTGCACGGCCGCGGCTACTACCGGGCGATGTACTAGATTGATAGCTCTTCCGTCAGGTATCTTACATTACAGAGAGTGACATCTTGATAGCTGCTTCATGTTCATTATAGATCATAAATAGATCGGTTGATGATCCTAGCACGACATGATGCAATTTTATACATCATATGTTTAATATCACTCTTAATGTTCGGGGCGGTGAGGTTGCCTGGCGGTTAAAGAGTTCGCTCGTCACGCCGAAGACCCGGGTTCGATTCCTCACATGGGTACAATGTGTGAAGCCCGCGTCCCCTGCCGTGATACTGGTGGAATATTGCCAAAAGCGGCGTAAAACTAAACTCTCTCAAACTGGCATTGGAAACAATCTGTAATCGACATGTAATATATATATAAAAACCTCAAACAGCAGTTGGTAGTACTTATTAGTTTATCGATCTAAGTCATATGGGCGACACGCCCCGACTGCAGCCGCTGACACACGGACATACTGACGCGATGATGTTGCCGATGTTGCGAGATGCCGGGAGACAGTAGAGACAGGGCACACACCTAGTTGTTGGGCTGGCAGATAAGGGGATTAATGGCCTGTGCATTCCGGTCCTTAAACACGAAGCATCGTCACTGTCATGAAGGTGACCGCGGCAGCGACACACCTTGTCGTGAAATATTTGGGCGGCTTCCTGCGCGTGTTTGGTGATGGTTAATGGAGGCGCGAGATGTGCAGAGGATGTGTATGACGGTAACTTCACTGTAACATCACTGTAACATCACTGTATCTTGAAAGTAGCGAAATGGCGAGGATTGAAGCGAGACAGACTTCTGACAGACTTCTGAGACACATACATGTCCATGTTACCATGACACATGGATATGAGGGTTAGTGTGTCGCAGATAACCCAAAGGATAATGAGTGAGTGAGTGAGTATGGATTTACGCCGCTTTCAGAAATATCCAACAATATCAAGGAGGAGGACACCAGAGATAGACTTCACACATTCTACCCATGTGGGGAATCGAACCCGGGTCTTCGGCGTGACTAGCGAACCCTTTAACCACTAGGCTACCCCACCGCCTGCAGGGATCATGAAGCCCAATGGGTTCCCACATCGACTACGCTGCCTTTACAGCCGTCCTGGCGTAATGGAGACTATTAACGTTTTAGAGAATTATATAAGGGGAGGCGGGATAGCCAAGTGGTTTAAGCGTTCGCTCGTTACTTCAAATCCTTGATTCGATTCCCTACATGGGTAGAATGTGTGGAGCCCATTTCTGGTGTCCCCCGCCGTGTTATTACCGGAATATAGCTAAAGGCGGCGTAAAACTAAACTCACTCACTTTGAGAATTATATGTGAAACTGCGACACTCCTAACGCCCTCCTCAAATCCCCACCCCAAACCCCACCCCGTCATAATTCTGCACCCTCGTGACATCATATCCATGGCGATGAAACACGAAATACTCTGTCCACCTCTTTGACTGACTGACTGACTGACTGAGTTTGGTTATGCGGGACGCTTTCTGGAGGTAGGGGTGATGTTTGTTATGACTGGACTGTTCGGTTTTGAGTAGGACTGCATTGTTGTGTGGTAGAGGTGGTGTTCTTAGAGATCTGGGTGTCGTTGTACGAAGCAAACAAAGCGCTACGCCAGTCGTAAGTCTATGTTAAGGTATGGGAGTTACGATCACCTTAGCGCTACGCCAGTCGTAAGTCTATGTTAAGGTATGGGAGTTACGATCACCTTAGCGCTACGCCAGTCGTAAGTCTATGTTAAGGTATGGGAGTTACGATCACCTTAGCGCTACGCCAGTCGTAAGTCTATGTTAAGGTATGGGAGTTAAGATCACCTATACGCCAGTCGTAAGTCTATGTTAAGGTATGGGAGTTACGATCACCTTAGCGCTACGCCAGTCGTAAGTCTATGTTAAGGTATGGGAGTTACGATCACCTTACGATCGCAGTCGTACAACGTCTAGTCGTGGTATGTTCTTGTGTTATGGGGATACGCAGTCGTAAGTTGCATGGTGGGCGCTGAGATTGTCATGGTGTATTCGGGTGTTTTGGTTGATAGCAGGGTTGTTGTGGGTGGCACAAGCGGTGTCGTGGGTGGTAGAAGCGGTGCCATGGGTATTAGAAGCGGTGCTACGGGGTGACAAAGGGCGGCGTTCTCAGTACAAGAGTATTATAGCATCCCGAGGGCATTGAGGCATTTACCTGTCGTCCATGCAGCTGCTCCCAAGTGAACGCTGGTGTTTACCTGGTGATGTAAGTGTATTCTTCACACAGACAGTGATTATCTCAAACAGCCCATTGTCAGTTGACACAGGCTTGCAGAGAGCCCTCACCGTGTTGACCCTAGCCGTGTGTCGGTGGATCTGACAACTGACTCAATTAAGCGGCGAATGCTTCGGTTGTGAGAGAAGCTGCTTCAGGCGGCTTCTGTGGGCGAGGAATATATCATCACCTGCCCGACACGCGTCCACGCCAATGAGATGGGGACGATTATTGTTACGATAAACTGACATTGCAATTACTGATTTAATAACCGAAAGCCAATAACAATTTGGATGATATACAGACCGTTTTTCTAACCTCGAATGGTTGATGGGGTAGCCTAGTGGTTAAAGCGTCCGCTGAGTGAGTGAGTTGAGTTTTACGCCGCACTCGGCAATATTCCAGCTGTATGGCGGCGTTCTGTAAATAATCAGATCTGGACCAGGCAATCCAGGGATCAACAGAATGAACATCGATCTACGCAATTGGGATGCGATGACATGTGTCAACCCAGGCAGCGAGCCTGACCACCCGATCCCGTTAGTCGCCTCTTACGGCAGCGAGCTGACCATTCCGATCCTGTTAGTCGGCCGCTTACGACAAGCATGGTTATAGCGTTCCCCCTTGTCAGGCCAAATACCCGGCTTCAATTTCACATGGGTACAATGTATGAAGCCCATTTTCTGGTGTCCACCGCCTTGATATTGATGGAATATTAGTAAAAGCGGCGTAAAACTGAACTCACACTCTCACTCACTAACAGCGTCCGCTCGTCACGCTGAAGGCTCGGTCTTGACTGGCCACATGGGGAACAATGTTTGAAGAACAATTCCACTTCGATCTGCGCAGTTGAGATACGATGACATGTGACCACCCGATACAGCGAGCCTGACCAGCCGATCCCGTTAGTCACCACTTACGACAAGCATGGATCCAATTCTAAACCGGCATCTTCACGGGTTGTTAAAATGTAAACCTTATATCCAGACCTATGTGATTCCAGCACCCCGGGGTTCACCCCCACTCAAGCCCCACCTCAACGCCAATCTTCACCCCCTACCTACCTCTGGTTGCGCAGGAGATCTATACAGAACCATTCCATTCAGACCAAGGTCAGGTTCAAGGCTATTACACATGTACATTATTCTGTCCCGCGCACATGTATTTATGACACCTGAATGTAAGCTACCCTCCGCTTTGTAAAACCCTTAACACAAGGTTACGATTCGCATGTATCTTTAAGTAAGGCATTCTCGGTTCAGTAATCACGACGTACAGGG